AAAAAACTAAGACATGGCTCTAGACCCGGTCTCACCTTGAAATTTCTTTGGCGCTTTTGTTAGCTCTCCCATTCAAACGCTTGGGCAAACAAACAGCACAAACAGACAGACAAACAGTGCAAACAGACAGAGCCAGAGGGACAGTCGGAGGGGGGCTAACTGACAGCGACACAGGGCGCAAAAGAAGTCGAAGAAGTGAGGCTGAGGCCGAGGCTGAGGTCCCGTGGACCACCAAGTGAGTGAGTTATCTGATGGCCGTCAAGTTAGAGCTCTTTCTTGGTCTGATCTCCCACCCGTTCGTTCTGGCCACCCGCTGAACCGTCTGTCTGTCTGTCCAACCGTACGACGTTCTGTATTTGCGTTTAAAGTTTTTTTGATTGAATTGTTGCAAATTGTTTGCAAATCTATTTCGTTTGGGGCCCCGCAGCAGCAGCAGCAGCCTCGACGGCACAGCACCAATCGTACTCCTCCATTGAACAATTGGTTTTTGTCTTTGTCCGTCTGTGGCGCGGGGGCTTTTGTGGCCACGCAGATATCCAGATATCCAGAGCCAGTCTCGACTCGACTTGACACTGAGTTATGGTTCTGACAGCTGCTGCAAAAGGCAACACACACACACAGAGGAAGAGAGAGAGAGAGAGAGAGAGGGAGGGGGGAGACTCTTTTGGCCAGCTTTGGATTTCCATTCTATAGCCAGTTTTTGAGCCACAAAATTTCGCTTGCCTTTTGTTAATCCTATTACCGAACCGAAGCGCAACTTCAGCAACAGATAAAGTAATTACCCCACACAGCTGCCCCCCAAAAAAGTTCCTCAAAAAGGGAACAAGGGGATGCGGAGTCTGCTTCGCTGACTTTGGCAGAAAAAAAGGTAAAGGTTCAGACCTTTTTTTCTTTATTAATACACTTTGGACTGTGAAGGAGAGAGGTGAGGTTAACCTCGCTCTCTCTCCCAGTGTGTCTTAGCAATCAAGGGTGAAAGACAATTTCCACTCCATCTCTGAACATTTCCGTTTCGATTTTCATTCCGATTCGGTGGTCAATGTCCCGGCAGTTTCCTTTCTATATCCTCGCCTTGGCTAACATTAACATTAAGCATCAGCTAAATCCAAGCCGAGTGGGACACAGGTGTGGGTGCAACACTGAAATCTAGACGCCAGCCAGCATTTATTTAGCCATTAAACACGCTTCATGGCTTCATGGCTTTTTGCTTATTTTCATTTTCATTATCAATTGGAACGCGCGCGGACCGCGGACCGTGGGGGTAGCGGGAGGCGGATGGGGAGCTCGGTGGGGTGACTGTAAAAAAGCTTTTAACTTAATTATGTTGGCCATAAACTGCAGGTTTATTTTGGCCGTAGAAATGACGCGAGCTGCGCGCCGCTTGGCGTGTGAACACTGGACACCAGCGTTCGACTCTAATTAAATGTCGCCTGGGGGCATGGGGGCATATGACCAACATTTTGTCTATTCCACAGACCTATACTTATATTCGGATACAATTTAGAGATACATTCATGTGTGTATTTGGTATATGGCAATTTGTTTCAGTTGTGCCGCTGGGCTTGGGGGTTGTGAAGTGTTTGCTCGTGAAACACTCGAGTCCAAACCATTTTCCATTACCATTACCATTTCGGCCATGTCATTGTGTGGCCAGTATGTGAAGTGAATTGTGTATTTGGGTGAATGATTTACATAAATTCTCGAACGTTCAAACGTCCGAGCGGCCATGTGTTTGCACTGAGAGATCTGATCCGATTTCAATCCGAAATCACAGTCCCACAGTCCCTCCAGAGTAGCGCACCCTGTATTGACAGAATCAAGCGCTGGTCAAACAAAACCCACACACTATTTGGCACTCTGGCAAGTGGTGGTCAGAGCTCTGGGGCACCGTTAAGAAATAATTATATAACCACTTCAAGTGCTGCCACAGTCGCTGTCGGTCTGCTCTGCTCTGCTTGGCCGCACTTGAAGTCTTGTGAAGTCTGGGCCGTGAATTTTCGTGCCCGACCGCTGCTGCGCCCTGGCCAAATGTCATTAGCATTGTAAGCATGATAAATGACGCCACAAGACTCTAAGATTTTCTGGTCTACATATGTATGTGTGTGTATTTTTTTGAGCATGAAGTCGTCAAAAACCATTTGTCACAGTTTTGCCAGAGCTTAAGGCCGCGACAGAGGCTTTGTCAACTCCATTTTTCAAACTTTTGTCTCGAAAAACTTAAAGTTCTTGGAATATGTATGTAAAAAATTACTCGAAAACTTGAAGTTCTTTGAGTTCTGGTATGCCATCGGCATTTCTGACTATGGCAGATATCAACTTTTTAAGCGATGGAGTTTCTGTGTGTACCCGATAATTCCAAAGATCCGGGAATATCATATCTACGCAGATCCCGTATCTGAGGAGCTCATTATTATAGCCAAAATGAAGCATATAAGTCTCTGTCTTGCGCTCTATCCCAGTGAGGCTTAGCAATTAAAGGTAAGTTATTTATTTGTACAAAAGATTGATATACAAGTCTCCCAGCTTTATTTCCTTTTGTTTCTTTATCTTGTTAATCCGTCCCTGAATTTCTGTGAAATAAACTCGCAAAATGTAATCCCCTCTCGGATAATGCATACCAAAAAATCACTCATACGCAACGTTTGTCACAGCTCTCATTATGGCCATGAAATATCGATTACGACACTTTTGCCCAGACACCAGACGCGCGCGTTGCACGGTTATTGCAGCGTGGATGGGGTGCGATGTGTCGCGGATATACGAGTCGTACCTTTCATTGGCTAACTGAGCTCCGCTTAACCCGGCTGAAATGCAAAACGAGTCGACCGCAGGCACCAGTCAGTCAGTCAGTCCCCCACTCTTCCACTCCAATCACTTGGGTCGTCATTAATGGTAGGACTGCAGCCGTGCGGCGGCTTTAAGTGCGTGCGCGCTTAGTGCCATCGGCAGCCGTCAAAATCAACACAGACAACGACAATGACAATGCCAACAAACGGCACTGGCCAACGAAGCTGTGAATACCCTTTCCAGGGGGGTTTTCCTTTAATCTCCCAGCTCTGTGTTTGGTACTCCACCATAGACGAATCTGCAATGGGTATTACAGTCTTCGATTCTCGCAGGTAGACTGCTTGTCGTTTTGTGGTATCGTTGCTGCCAATTTGACAGACAGTTGGGGCAAAAGCAAGAGCACTGGCTCACTAGCTCCGCGCGGCTCCATGCGCTGGCTGGCGTGTAAATAAAATTACGTTTTTGAGGCTGGCGGCCACACGCATTTTCTCCCCTTTCCTCCCCCCCTCCTCCGGCTGCTCTGACAGTTTTGCATATCTCTGGCTCTGGCTCTCTGCGGCACTTTGAGTTTTCATTCATGGCAAATGTCGTGTTGTTTTTTTTTTCTGTCGGCGGCGAGTCTTTTATCAATCATGTGCCTGAGCAGCACACGGGCTGCGTCTACGTGAGTCGCCAGGGCAATAATTACAAGCGATAAGTTGTTCGGGCCAGTGGAAACTCATTAATAATGACCCCGAGGGCCTGTGACAACGACAACCAACGATGGTTGGACTGTTGGTGTCTGTCCGCCCCACAGCTTAGGGGGGCACCTATGTCTAATGCACAATTTATGCCCAAAGTTCAGCTCGGACTTGCAGCCGTTGAGCTCTTGTAAAATTATTATAAATCTCTTGTTGATGAGCTGTGATTATTAGCGTTTTACGTGCTCCAATTTTTGTAAGCACACTGCCACATGCAACACAGCAGGCAGCTGGCAGCAGGCAGCAGGCAGCATGCAAGTGTCATTAGTCAGTTCCAGGAATGGCTAAACTAGTCTGTCGTCGTCGTCATGGCCCCCCTCTTTCTGGTCGATCAATCAGGTACGGAACCACTCCACTGATCTGCCGTGGGCGATTCACGCTCAACTGGTCCAATTACCTCATGCATCCACAAAACATACATACGAGTAGCCACATATAGGCCTGGGTATATGCCCCTCCACTCCCCTGCCCCTTTGTGTGTCCGTGTTTTCGTTTTCTTGGGCCGGCATCTCTGCATAATTAACTGACGGCCCTTTAAGTCACTCGGTAATTATGTCGCAGACCTCACAGGGTTTTCGAGTTGACAAGAACTTGCCAGAAACATCTCTGAGATTGTTCGACAATTTGCATGAAACTTCAACCTTCAACTCGATTATCTTTTCGATCTACACAAAAGTTCATCTCAACAGAAATTCCTTTTCAATTTCATGGCAATTTTGATGTTCGTTTAATGTAATAACTGATTTATGTCTTTCGATTTATATGGTTCTCTACAAATATTTTTCAATTAAAAGCCAGAGATACAGATACAGAAATATGTTTTTATGGTTTAAGTTTTCGTATAGGTTTGCTGAAATCAGAGACACCAGACATCAGGCCACCCAAACATGCCACAGCCGCCCCGGCGGATGTGGATGTGGAGAAAAATCACAACAATTTATTTGATTTGCCCGCACAATGATGCCAACTATGAGTGTGGGGCATGCCGCATCAGCAGAATTCTTCACCCAGCGAGACAGACAAAGGGCGACAACGAGCGACGAGACTCTTCTTTCAGATGACGACCCATTTAATTTGGCAAACGTGAGCAGTTTTAAGCCAGAGAGGAAAAGCAGGCCAAAGGCAGACCGGCAGGCTGGGAAAAGCGAAGGGAAAACACCGTCACAGACATCTGTGCTCTCCCTTTGGCTCTGGCTCTGGCTCTGGATCCATGGACGTGTGAATGATGACACTTTGCATGTGTTTGCCCAAGTCACAAGGCCCTGGCACTAAATATTGATGAGGGTGGTGTGGGTGCTGTGCCGTCTCCTAACTCTGTGTGGCACGTTCAAAGTATGCAACACTTTTTGTCATGTCACAAAATGTTGCTGTTGATGATGATGATGACGGCGTTTATGGGGTTGAAAGGGAAAGAGTTTCCCCCAATGTTTACCCTGAAAAATGGAGAGCCCCCGGAGGGTGGGTGGCACTTACCTTGATCTCGTGTATAAACTCGGTTTCATCCAGCAAATTAATGCGTACGGACATAATCCGCGATGGCCGACACAGGCAATTCATGGTTGTTCCTTCACTCTCCACACGATGAAAGATTAAGTATACGTCGCGTCGCCTTGAAGATTGTCTGACATTGTCTAAAGAAACAAGAAACAAGAAAGAAGATAGAAAGTGGCAATTAATATGTGCACATTAATTAATAGATATGCTTTTGCTGTGGCAATTAGCAGGAATGCAACTTGCATTTGCAACTGGTTTACAGATGCAGATGCAGATGCAGATACTGGTTGGAAATGCCTCTAACAACGAGTGGAAGACGAAGACTCTAACCAACTCTGGCAGTTATGTGTCTGCGTCTGTGTCTGTCTCTTGGCCTAGGCCTAGGCCTTGTTTTAATAACTCTTTTGGCTTGGCATTTATCTGAGCCGCAGATCAGCAGTCAACAGCCAACAGCCAACATCAGCTGCGGCAATGACAGTCATCGCAACTGTCAGCGGTTGCCGCTCCCCAATTCCCCATTCCCCCTCCGGTGAGGGCATTATCATTATAATTTTATAATTGCGGTTGTTTTCCAGCGATAAGTTTAATATGCATGAAGTAGGAAGGAGAACCGCAGAGAAAGAATCACCTACGAAGGCAACTAAAGCCCCTACTCCTCCCCTCCCCTCCCCACTCCTACTGCAAAGACAACAAGAACAACACCAACAAAAGTCACTTAAGCGGATTAGTTAAAGGGCGCTTCTGTCCCTCTCTATATTCGTGGCTGTCTGTGTGTGTGTGTGTTTTCGGTTTGTGTGTGTGTTGCCTAAAAGCAGATTATGTCATTAGGAGTTATAGTACATGGAGGGACGGGGGAGGAGGCACCAGCGACCAGCTTAAAGTTTGCCAAGGGGCTTTAATGGAGAAGTTTTGGAGCAGCGCCACAGCGTAGAAATTAGTGTGGAAACAGTGGAAACTATTGTAAGTGGAAAAAAGTGAAACACTACTGAATGTTTTCCTACACATGCTTGCCATTAACCTAATGACTGAAAATCTCAGTCAAATTCGGTTGTAAAGGAAAACATGGGTCCTCAAAATTCAATTGTCGGAGTCCTCGCTCAAAGGAAATCCCAGGCAATGCCTACTGTATCTACCTCTTTGATATCTCATGAAAACATCAGACAACAATTCACCGACAAAAACCCAGAGAGAGACGAAGGGCCACAACAAGTAGATCTCTGGCAGTGCCACTGCAACTCCGACTTTGAGACGCATGTGGCTGCCTGCCTTTTTGTTGGTTGCCGCTGCTGCTGCAACTACAAAATAATTAATGTGCATCCGCATAATGAAAAGCAGCGAAGGGAATGGGTGAAAAAAAGAGCAGCAGTAAGGGGCGGGAGGCATGGTTAACTTTTCACACATTTCACATGGCCAGACCTCAAGTTTGTGTTGTTTTTGCATAGTCTGTGACTTGTAGTTATCGCCGGAGTCATACAGAGTCATAGTTGAGGTTGCAGCCTCTTTTCCATTTGCATTTTGTGTGGGGCTTTCATTAGAGGCTGGCTGGCTGGCACATTTCACTGGAGCCGCGGCGCTCATTAGACTAATGAAATATTATGCCTAATTAATGGAAAGTCGACTGGGGCTGCCAGCTCGGTTGACTGACATATGTCATACATCTGTCTTTAAGTTGGTCACTCTGTCAACGCGACTGCTGCAAGTTGCATCAATTAAAATGCATATTTATGTGAATGACAGCCACTATGAATGTGGAAAAAGATGGAAATGTATGAGCCCCCCCACCGCCCACCGCCCACTGCATGTAATTTTAATTGCAGCAACAACAAGTTCATTCAACTTGCCACCAGAGAGTGGGACTCGGATGGGTACCGGGGGGGACTTTCCACGCACCCACCCCCGGACCAGAGTAGCCGGTTCCACGCACAGGCGGAAATTACAATTTAATCGTAAATTTCCCTTAAATTTAATGCCCTTCCTGATCGTTAAGCTTTAACGCTGGGAATCATATGTTTTTCTTAAATAGGAAACAATTTTCACGGCTATAAACATATTAATTGGTTTTCCAAAAAACTCTTTCAACTTTCGGAATACCCCGCCATTCGACAAACCTCTTCGAGAGTTGGAAAAGTTTACGCCTTGAGAAATGTTCAACAAATGCCATAACTTTATGCCCCATCCAAAAAACTGAACCGCAAAGGGAGGAAGGGGAAGGCAAATCCTGCAGAAACCACACATATGATAAATATGCCATTGATCGATTTTTGAGCAGCATTTCCCGTCCCCTGACACTGGGAGAAATTTATCGCCTGGGCATATTTATAGCGTCATATCTTTACGCCCGAGCCCTGTGTGTTTACAGGACATCATCAGCATCAACATCGGTTACAGATTCATGCTTCAAGCTCCAAGCTCCAAGCTCCATGCTTCAGCTTCAACTTCATGTTTCAGCATCCAGCGACACCCTCATAATTTCTTTTCCCATCAAATTTATCACAGCTACAGCAGCAGCAGGAGGCGGCGGAGGAGGAGAAGCATCAGCGGGTGGTAGGCGTGACTTTTCCCCATGCTTTTCCGGGTGGAGGATGGGATGGGATGGGCGATGGCTAAAAGAAAAACTTGCCTTGATTTGTGATAAAGTGCGTGTGGCATTTGGCCGACCCGACCTTCATCCCCCCCCGCATTGCCTATTTATCAGACGCAAACTTTGCTTTCAATTTTCCGGGGGATTTTTACTACTTTCTTTCCCTCCCTCTTTCCTCTACGCTTCCTGCAAAGCTTTTCTACTCATTTCTCCTCCTTTTTTTTTGGGTGCTTTATTAATAATATTTGTGCAGACTCCAGACTCCTCATACATCCTTATATCCCTATATCCATAGACTGTCGCACATTACTCTCCGCTCCCCCCACCTCATCATAAAAAGCTCCCTACTTGCATTCATTTCTGCTTTTCTGACGGGCGTATCAATAACTGAAAATGTCTCAAACAGCATTTTGTCATATTTCAATGAATCCGCACTCCACTCCTTCGCACTCCTCCCTGGATCCCTCTTCGGCCTCCTTCTGTGTATCCCTTGGTTCCATTTTATGTATTTGCGGAAGTAACACCCAGGCCAAGGCAAAAGGCAAACAAACTTTTAGCACATACATCTGGCAGCAGCAGCAGAGTAATGTCTGGCATAGGTCTCTCTCCACCTCCCCTCTTGGTTTTCGGTCTGGTTTTCTGGCTAAAACGAAATTATTTATTACCAGTGTTGCTGTTGTTGTTGCTGGCTGGGGGAGGGACTGGCTGACTGCTGGCTGCTGTGTGCGTAGATTCTGCTGCTGGTAATGATGATGAAAAACGTGAAAGCATCGAAAAGTGCAAATGCCAAAGAAAAACCCCAGAAAAGGTGAGACGGGGGCGCCGCAAATCGGAAGGATTGCCCCAGACATAGTCGCAGACCCCATGGCTCATGGCTCATGGCCCAGAAACCTGAAACCAGCCCAGACCCACACTTTAATGATGATTAAATGCGCGTTTGGGTTTTCCCGCATTAGAGGGGTATCACTCTCTCGGCTGCTCTCTCAGGCAGTGATTTTCCCTTTGGGTTTTCCGTTTTTTAGCTGGTTGATTTGACTATGAAATGGAGCTTATTGGTTCGAATGGGGGGCGTGGAGAGGGTGGTGAATAACTCTTCAAATGAGCTGGAAAATTGAAGCCAAGGGCAAAGCGTTGGGCAGGAATTTCCATGCTAAATAAACTCCTGAAGAGAACTAGCTCTAGGAGTACTCCAGCGCTGAGTGGAAGAGTTCTTTGCATCCCAGAAATTTCTTGTATAAATATTTGCTTTAACCATTCTAAGACTCCTTCTCTCTGCGGAGATCTGCGTGCATGAAATTACTTAATATTTTTTTTGTAGTGGAGACGACTGACTGTTCGCGGCCTCGTTTCTCCATCTCTAGCGCTAATTTCTGAGAATTGCTTGAGCCATGGCTCATTCCTGCAGATGGAGAGGAGTGAGCAATATGCATAGCCATAGTCAGGGCACGAAACGGCATGGACATGGCCACAATCCGCAGGCGGGCATAAATTTTACAGCCACATATGAGGGGGGATGAATGGATGGTTGGATGGGGAGAGGCAGTTCGGTTGGGGCGTGGGCACGGCTCATACCTTGAGGCATTTGCAGCAATTAACACGGTCGACGGCGTGTCTTGGCGCCCACTTTGGCCCGCCACAGCCAGAGCCACAATCAGAGACGCTGTGGCAGTGGCAGCGGCAAGGGGCCCCAGTCAGAGTTTCTTATTTTCTCACTTATTTTTGGCACGTAATGAGCTTGGAAACCCATTGGATTGTGTCCAAGACGCAGGCAGACACAGGGACAGGCTCTAATTGCATTGACGCTTTAGCCAAAGGAATGACATTGAGAGGTGCATGCCACCTGGAGGCCGGAGGCACCGCACCGAGGTGCACGCCGCCTGGACCTGATTGAGTTGCAGTTAATTATGCCTCGGTGCCTGGCATTTCGATGATTTTAATGATTTGTAGCGGTTTTTGCCGGGCAAATATTTCCCGTACATTTGCCACAGGGCTCCCTCCTCTGCCTGTTGGGGGAATACTGTTCACTCCTCTCTGGCAGCTGGCTTCTGGCTGCTGGCTGCTACGACAACGCGTCGAGAGCAATGACACACAAGATTTTTGTGCCGTGGTACTGTATGAGTATTTATTTACAGTTGCCGACACAACGATGACGTTGCCTGACGACAGGCCCAGTGAGTGTGTGCGTTAATATTTAAGCGGTTGCATGGGAACTTGTTAACACCAACGAGGTAGCAAGCAGCACACACACACACGCACGCGACCGTGCCACGAGACCAGACCAGCCACAGTCACAGCCACAGCCACAGCCCCAGATAAGCGCCAAGGGAGAGACAGAACGATTGGGGCAGCATGTTGTACGGGGGAGTGGCAGCTTCCATGGCCAGGAAGCTGCCTCGTCGCTGCTGCACAGCTACGTGAGTGATTGTCAAGTGCTTGACGCTGCAGACAAATGAAATTCGCTTAAAGTGCGCGCCCCACAGTCGGCAGGCACTGGCACGGGCACGGGCACGGTCACAGTTGCAGTTGCAAGTTCGCTGCTGTTGCGGGTATATGCCA